ATAAAATAATCATAACAATGTATTGTGGAGTTTGTAACTTGGATTAAAGTAATATATAAAATGCATAGAAATATCACAGGAAGGGTTGGGTAACAGAACTATGTAGGAGTGGCATTTCTATATCTCACTGGAACTCAGTATAAAGCCAAAGTAGAGTATCCTAAGTTAAAATGTAGATGGTAAGCACTAGAATAAATAGCAACAAAATGAATTTTAAAATACAGTAAAAAATAATTAAAGGAATTCAAATGTCACATAAGAAAAGGTTTATTTAATGCATAAGAAAAGAACAATGGAACCCCGGAGGAACAAAAAAGATATGAGGTATACGGGAAACAAAATAAAATGGCAGTTATAAAGCCAACTATGTCGGTAGTAACACTAAGTGTGAATGGATTAAGCCAACCACCCAAAAGGCAGCAACTGCCAAACTGGAAACAAATAAAACAAAACAAGGTCCAACTATATAAAGTCTTAAGGGAACACACTGAAGACTGGATGATACAATGTGTTGAATGTAAAAAAGTATAACACATAGCATAGAAACAACGAGAAAGCTGGAGTGGCTATGATATCAGACAAAATAAACTTTCAAACAAACAAAAAAATGTTAATAGATAAAGAGGGGCATCTTATAATGACAAAAGGGTCAATCCATCAAGTAACAGTTATAAACATTTATACACCTAACAGAGACCCAAAATATACAAAGCAGAAGTTGAAAGAATTGAAGGAAGAACTAGAGATTTCAACAACAATAGCTGGAGGCATCAACACCTCACTCCCAATAATGGACAGAACTATACAGAAGATTAGCAAGGAAATGAAGGACTTGAAAAACACTGTAATCCAGCTAGACCTAACAGATATCTATAGAACACTCAACAACAGCACAATACACAGTCCCTTTAAGAGTACATGAGGGGTGCCTGGCTGGCTCAGTTGGTGGAGCATGAGACTCTTAATCTCAGGGTTGTGAGTTCAAGCCCCACACTGGGTGTAAAGATTACTCAAAAATAAAATCTTCAAAAAAAGAAAAAAAAAAGAGTATATGAAATATTCTCTAGGATAGACCATATCCTAGGCCATAAAATAAGCCTCAACAATTTAAAAGGAATTGAATCATACAAAGTAAGTTCTCTGACTACAGTGGAATGAAATTAGATCAATAACAAAGAAATATGAGAAATCCACAAGTATGCAGAAACTAACCAGCACACTCGCAGATGACTACAGGATCAAAGAATAAGTTATGAGGAAAATTAGAAAATACTTTGAAATGGGTGACAATGAAGAAACAGCACACCAAAACTTAGGGTAGGCAACTAAAGCAATGTAATTTCTAAGAAGATACAAACTACCAAAATAACTCAAGAAGAAATGGAAAATCTAAATAGATCTATAACAAGAGATTGAATTAGCAATGTTAAAAAAGTTAACAAAAAAAGCTTAAGCCCAGATAACTTCTGTGGTGAATTTCACCAAACACTTCAGTAAGAATTAATACCAAATTGTCAAAAATTCATCTTAAAAAATAGAAGAGGAGGGAACACTTTCCCACTTATCCTATGAGGTCAGTATTATTAACCTGATACCTACCAAAAGCGGCAAAAGACATCATAAGAAAGGAAAATTATAGACCAAGAGCTCTCATAAATACAGACATAAAAATCCTCAGCAAAATGCTAGCAAATCAAATCCACCAGTATATAAAAAAGGATTATACATTAACCAAAAGAGATTTATCCCAGATATGCAAGACTGGTTGCAAACTGAACAAACCAGGGCTAAAAGGGAATCTGGTCAACCTGATAGAAGGCATCTATGACAAGCTCTCAGCTAACATCACACTTCACGGTGTAAGACTAAAAGCTTTCCCCTAAGATGAGGAACAAGACAAGGATGTCTGCTCTTCCGACTTCTATTCAACACTGTACTAGGGTTCTAGCCAGGAAAATTAGGCAAGGAAATGAAACAGAAAGCATCCATACTGTTAAGGCAGAAGTTAAACCACCCATAACTGCAGACAGCATGATCTTGAACAGTACATAAAAAATCCTCAGGAATCTACTTGAAACTATTAGAACCCAATAATTTCAGCAAAGTCGCAGGGTATAAGAAAATACAAAAATCTATTGTGTTTCTATTTACTTGCAATACAAAATACAAGAGTGAAACTAAAAAATAATTCCATTTATGCTATCAAAAAGGATAAACACTTTAGAATAAATCTAACAAAACTGTAAAACTTACACTCTGAAAACTACAAAAAGAATGCTAAAAAAAATTAATGAAGACCTAAATAAATAGAAAGACACCCCATGTTCAAGGATCAGAAGACAATATTAAGATGACAATACTGCCCCAATTCATCCACAGACCCAATGTGGTCTGTATCGAAATCTTAGGTGGCTTCTTTAAACAAACTGATGAGCTAATCCTAAAATTCACCAGGAACTGTAAGGGATCCAGAATAGTCAAAACTATCTTGAAAAAGAAGACGAAGTGGGAGGAATCACACTTCCCAATTTCAAAACTTACTTTATAGTAACAGTACCAATACTTTTACCAACACAGTGGTACTGGCATAAGGACAGACTGGATCAATGGAACAGAACTAAGAGTCTAGAAAAAAATATTTTCACGTATGGTCAGCTGATTTTTGACAAGGGTGCCAAGGCACTTCAATGGGACATGATTAGTCTCATCAGCCAGGGGCACTAGGTATATACCCAAGAGAACCAAAAAACTATGTCTGCACAAAAATGTGTATACCTAATGTTTCATGGCAGCATTATGCACAATGGCCTCCAAGTAGAAACCACCCCAAATGTCCATCAATTGATAAATGGATAAGCAAAATGTGGTACATGCATAATATGGAATATTATCCAGCCACAGGCAGGAATGAAGTACTGATTTGTGCTACAGCCTGGGTAAACTTTAGAAACATTACTCTAAGTTTAAGAAATCAGATATTAAAGACCACATAGCATATCATTTCATTCATCGAAATGTCCCAAACAGGCAAATCCATTGAGACAGAGAGCAGTTTTAGTGATTGCCAGGAGCTGGGAGGAGGATGTCTGACAACGGGGATGGGTTTCTTTCTGGAGTGATGAAAGCATTCTGGAATTAGAATGGAGTGCTGTCGAAGGACTTTGTGACCATACTATAAACGAGTACACCGTATATTCCGTACGGGTAACTTACAGTATGTGAATTCTACCTCTATTTAAAAAGCCAGCTTCTTGATATTATGAATATTAATCAGATGTGCAAACTTACCAAAATTCTTTTACGGTCCTTTTCTGATAAAAATTTTACTGGCGGGTATTTCTGGGTGAAGCTGTAGAACATGAAGAGATGAGAAAAGAAGAGTCAACCATCTCCTGTGAGGATTTTCTCTACTACCATCAAAACAAAGGCTAGACTGTGGCATTATTACTGTCTGCTCCTTCTATCCATTCCAAGCGAGGGCTGTAGGAACCAAGCGGTTATTGGCTCATTTGAATTCAAGAAATATGCAACCGGCTCCTCGTGTAGCATCAGGCTGAGGATAGAGATTTCATCCTGGAGAAGGGAAAATTTACCAAGGTACAGGCTCCGCGCAGCCAGAGCTAAGCACAAAATAAGGGGGGCAGGGTGGCCTTATAATGCTGTATCGAGGTCTGGAAGGAAAAAAGCAGCTGTGTGAAGTCACAGACCCAAAGCAGAACACTGTGCCTTGCAAGGGGAAGAAAAGAAAAAACTGACTAAGCCTGTTCCCTTATTCTGGGCAATTTCACAATTGCAGCATCTCTTTCTGCACCGGTGCCCCGGAACAAAATGGCTGGGCACCAGCACTTTCTGCCTCCATGGTCTGCTCTCAACACACCTTAAGTCTCACCTCATCTTTCCATAATGCCTCTTGCCCCCAGAAAAGGTCACATGGGTCCCCAACCCCTAGTGATATTTCCGGAGCAGGGCAGTGCAAGCTGCAGATAAAAGATCAAATGAGAGTTGATAAATGCAGATTTGAAATATCCATTCTTAAAGTGGTTAAATGGTTCAGTTAGGAACAAAGTGCTTTTAGTAAATTCAAAGAAACAACTTTACAGTCATTATTTTAATTGGAGAGGTGCCAGGGGCACTGTCTCATCCCCTTCACATCCCCAGCTGGGATACAGAAGGCATTTCCTTAATGGTCGCTGAACTGAACAGAATATGACAGGTCATTAGACAGAAGGCCTTGAAGCAAGTGTTTCTCATCTCCTGGAAGAGTGGAAACATGCTTAGAGCTTGGGGCAGCAGGGCTTTCTTTTACAATGCAGATGAATTCCCCTATTAAGAGCTTCCAGATTCTCAAAAGGTCAAGTTCCCCTTGCAGACTACAAAACCAGAAGCAGGCAGGTGGGAGAATCTGAGGGAATGAGTGAAAATCTTGGCCTTCCCTCTTATTAGTTCTGTGACCCAGAGCAAGACCCCCAAGAGCTCTGTGCACCTCAGGGCTTCCTGCTGTCAAGGGGTAATCACAGCACCTTCCCCAGAGGGCTGCCCTGGCAGGAGCTGTCTTTACCACAGGTAATGCCCAAGTGAATGTTCTCACAGGGCACATTCTGCCTGCTGGAACAGTGGAAGCCTTCAGGGAGCCTGACAGATGCCTTCTTTGCGAAGTGACACTTCTTGTCATTCCAAATACTTTCTCCGTCAGTCAGGTGGACATGGCCAAGCAAACCACAGCACTGGCTGTGTGCACCCCTCACACAGCCCCGACATCCACTCTCTTCTCTGAGCGCCCACATCCACCACTCCAGCCTCAATCCCAAATTCCACAGCCAGCCATGTGGCGCACCTACGGGGTCTCGCTCCTTCCAGGCTGACCCTCTCCCCACCTGCCCACTGTTGCCCCTTGTACCGGAGAGAAAATAGCAAACAGTTTTCTTATAGGAAATACAGTTCAATGAAACTGAAGCAAAAACATAACTGCCTGACACATGGTCACATGTGGAGTACAGACTGATAAACCTACTTCAAACACTGTGCTAAAAACCTTTAAAAAACAAAAACACTGGCTGGGCTTCTTGCTTTGTTTTCTTCAACATGTAGCAACCAAGTTTCAGATTTCAGATGTATGATCAAGTTATTAAACTGTTGGAAGGACTCTCTTATAACCCTCATTTCTTCCTTTGAAAAGTCAGGCGCACAAAGTCAGAAATAAGCGCAGGGGTAACTCCTTCAGGGTCCTCCTCAGTCTGCACTTCACACTGTTTGCCTTCCTGCAGTCACGGATGACAGAGCTGGGGGGGGTGTGAGGGGATTGTGTGAAGTGACTCTGAGGTGACTGCATAAGGGAACTGCGTGGGGGACTGTGTGAGGTGACTGCATGAGGGGACTGTGTGAAGTGATTCTCAGATGACTGCGTGAAGGGACTGCATGAGGGGACTGCGTGAGGGAACTGTGTGAGGGGACTCGGGTGACTGCGTGAGGGGCTGAGTAGTAACTCTGAGGTGACTGTGAAGGGACTGTGTGAGGTGACTGCATGGGGGGAC